TGAGAATAAATTCCAATGCCAGCAATGTATCGTGGGTTTCTTTGGGCAAATTGCCTATACCTCCTTAAATATTACCTCGGTTATATTTTTAAATACTCTATACAAATGCAATAATTTCACATGTAATTTTTACATGCAGAATACAAAAGTATATATCGACGGCGAAGACGAAAACCGAATAATCAACGGATTAATTATTTACCCAGTCCTATGTTTTTTCATGCGAGTTGCCTTGGCCACCTAGCGGCGCGGCAGCGAACTAGTGTTCGTTCGGATACTCCGAGTCTGGTTAGGGACTCTTGTCACAGATTTCAGCAATATATCAGAAAGTTTTATTTATTATATTGCCCTGAAATATTGTGCAATATTTGACATAAAGACATCAACAACATTGCTGTCGCATTGAAATATTGGAATATTGTTGTAATGTTTTCGAAATATAGTATGCTGTGTGGGTAGTGATGAAAAACAAAGAAGACGAAGAAGGAAGAAATATAGATCTTTTTTTGTCTTCGATCTGTTTTTCAAAGACAGAAGAACTTTTGTGTTTTTACAAAAAAAATCGACACTCTTATTGGCTGTCGTGGTTGACACGAAATTCACGGGTAACTGATAGGCCTACTTGCATCAGCCAATCATGGAGGTACGCGAGAGAGTATTGTTATGATAGTTGTGTTTTTGAGCACGTGTATGTTATCTGGTCGAATGTCATCAAAAAACAAAACAGAAGATTTATTAGCCTCCATTCAGTGTATCGAGAGGCGTAAATCATTGTGTGTGAAAAGAGTGTGCCGAGTGTACAGTGGCGGTGAAAGTGAAAAGTGAAGAGATATATTGGTGCAATATAAGTGGCAATAAATATATTCTTTTCTGGGTTCGCTGCGGTGAGTAAAAAAAGTCATGTCATTTTGCTATTTCCCAGTAAGAAAACGTGCTGCATGACGTATCAGCAAAAAATGTGAATTCTGCGACCGCATTAAGCTAAATTCTAACGGGCATTCATGCGTTCATAAATATATTCTATTCTGGGTTCGCTGCGGTGAGTAAAAAAAGTTATGTCATTTTGCTATTTCTCAGTAAGAAAACGTGCTGCATGACGTATCAGCAAAAAATGTGAATTCTGCGACCGCATTAAGCTAAAATCTAACGGGCATTCATGGCATACTATTTTGTCAGATATTAGCTTAACCAACCTGGTTAATATAATTTTTTTTGTATTATTTATTGCAGATTGAACGACTACGGAATACGCCAGTGATTTTTTTTTATTTTTTGTTTTTAAATCTTTTTTTATTTACTTAAGAGTTCCAAACTCACTGGCGGCTCAAACTGCCTGGCATTCTATTCGATTTAGAACACCTGTGAGTTCAAAACTCACTGGCAGCTCACAGCGCCTGGCAGCTTCTAGCGCCTATACAGAAGCCCTAGAGGCTATAAATAATAATAAATAAAAGACGATAATACGTCTTAGTATGATGGCAGCATTGAAGCAGGAATTAGACCAGAAGAACGTTATTGCTACAGGTCATCGACTGAACGACGATCACATTGATGACTTTGGGCGTTTGTTAACCGCAAATTCAGACTTCTTGCAGCCATCTGAGACATAAAGTATTTATTCTTCGCACTTAATAAACCCTATACCGCAGGACCGAAAACATATTCAGTTATTATATAGCTCAAGTGATCTTACTGACCGGCGTGCACCTGGTGGTCATTGGGTCTGCAGTTATTATGATAAAAAAAAACTGTTCATTTATGATTCCCTCAGGGCTCCGACGAAACGATTACATGAACATCACAGATTGGTTCTTGAGAAACTATACCCACATCTCAATCTCAATGTTAAATCGATAGTCGTATTTCCACTCGTCGATCAGCAGCCGAATGATAAAGATTGCGGCGTATATGCAATCGCATTTGCTGTAACGATTTTGTTTGGTTTAAAGCCGGAGAACGTTAGATATGACAGTACACAGATGCGTCGTCATTTGTTGGAGATGTTTGAATCCAAAAGAATCGAGCATTTCCCTGGACAATCAACAGACAAAAACATCGTACCAACGTTGAAAGTTGTAATCAATAGGCAAAAACAGAGCACGAAACGAGCTCTGTCGAGAGCAAAAAGTGAGAACCGAGAAACAGGATCTACTTCAGCAACAGACGATTATACTGACGGTTTCCTGACGGTCACGTCACGACAAAAGACGTCACGCCCTGAAGATTGTGGCAAAGGCAATAATAACAGTAAAAAGAGGGGAGGAGTTGTTACTGACACTGCTGTAGCGTTCGCGAACACAAATCGATTTTCGATTCTAAATGAGCTTGACGAGAATGCTAACGATTCAAAAAGCACACTCAAACAAAGAGTAAACGGTGTAAACGCAAGCACAAGTGAAAAAAAAAAGGACGGCCAGCCCTAAAAGTATTCATACTAATAAAGTTATCGTCGTTGATGGCGCTAGTACATTGAATAAAAACACAAGTGAAAATAAAAGAACGGCCAGCCCTAAAGGTATTCATACTAATAAAGTTATCGTTGTTGATGGCGCTAGTACATTGAATAAAATAGATATACAGCAAGTCTCTGGGAATAGATTACAAGAAAATCTTGGAGATCCCAAATCAACCAAAAACAGAACGTTCATTCCGAAACAGTCTTCTCACAATGTTCGACAGGTGCAAATGATCGCCGCAAGTCGACAGTTGAACGATGGTCATATTAATGAATTCGGAACGTTGTTAGCAACATTTTCCGAATACAAACCAATATGTACTGTGACGATAAGAATCGATCTCGCCTCGGGCCCCACGTTGGGCGCCAAATTTTGTGACGATAAGATTTTCGATTTCACCTCTGGCCCCACGTTGGGCGCCAAATTTTGTGACGTAAAAAAAAAAACAAAACAAAAACCGATAAGATGTATCTTACGTCATCAAAAACGACCCGCAATGGTCCTCTCTCTCTCTACCTCCTATCACCAACACGAAAACACGGGTTGGGCGCCAGGTATCCCTCGCGGGAGTACCACGAGTGCAACGCACTCTCTTTGTCACTAAATAAATCTACCCAATTCGGAATAGGCCGGGTTACGCTAAAACTAAACACCAATATATAGCGGAAGCGAGGACCACGCCAACAACCTAGGACGGGTCTCTCGTTCACAAAATTGTCACCAAGAATATAACGGATCCGGGGGCGACGCCAACAGTCCTAAGACG